TCCAGTGCACTCACATCAGAATAACTTATAGATTTGTTGTTAGAATAATCGATTAATCGAAAAAATAATCGTTAGATTAATCGATTACAAAATAATCGTTTGGTACAGCACTAGTACTAGAGTTTGGGTAATTTGAGATACCAAATACTTACTGAGTTAGAACAATTACTGAGTTACACATTGCACATTAACACACAATGACTAAAAATATGTTTTTCTTTTTAGAACAAGGTAACTCTCTGTTCTTACAGGCCTAAGGTTCTTCTAATGTATCAAATCACATATATAGCATATATTGTTGAAACATTTTTAAATAAAAAAACAAACAAGATTTTCTTACAACTTGTAAAAATGTCTTAATAGAGATGAAAATAATTAATCGACTTAAGATTAACTGTCAAATCATGGTTTATTAGATTCAAATCTGTTCCATTCATTTACCTGATAACGTCCACTCTAACTGGAAAGATACACCCGCTCTGGGACTCTCTTTTAATTTGAGTCAAACTTCAAACTTTAAACCAGTTTTTAAATMGTTTTTATAGGCCAAGTAAAACAGGAGTTATGGTTTATAACACCTTTAAAAATAAAATACTGTTAACTTGATGCGTTTTACAATTCAATTGATAACTTGCATCCCTATGTCTTAAACATGGAACTGAAAACTTTTCCCTTGAAATGTAAACTGTAATGCATTCAATGGACTATCGATACCATTAACAATTTGGTATTGGTCTGGAGTATCGGGGCATTTTGTACGARTATTTGTAAAAATGCTGGTMTCTGGTCCAATATCTATACCGGTATCGGTATCAGGAGACTTCTACAAATTTCCCTTTTTATTTCTGGCACTTGCTGGGCTCTGTATATTTGTGTCGCACATGGAGAACGGCTRGACCGCCTCAATAACTTGGTCTTATGGAAAGCACTCAGACCAGGACTTTATGGAAGAAGCTCCTGGAAAACAATGTCAAATGGGAACTTGATTTAGCATGACCTTTGTTGGTCACATTAAAAGATCAGGGGCTTCTCCTGTGATCATACACTGATGGCACTTTACATCAAAGAAAACCTCCTATGTGTCTCAGTAATACTACACAGCAGAAATGCTTSAGTCCCTTGATGTAAACAGAGGCTGCATTGTATCTGTTTGCCGTTTTTATTGTGTTTTTCTGTCCGCCAAATTAATGATCACCAGACACTTTGGAATAAATAATGGATATACCCTTTAAGTCATGTTTTAAGAAAACAAATTGAAGCTTCTAAAATGGGTCAGTGTTTCAATTCATATGTCTGCAGGCAGTATACTTTGCTTATTCTTTTATATTTATGTTGGACAGTGAACGACTGTCAATATTGATTTATTAGACAGTACAGAATCAGACCTTCCATGACCACTTCATCATAATATTGCAGAATGGGCGTTAGTTTTATATATAACACTAATATACACTTATTCATGATTAACCTTAAATAATTTATGCGAAAGACAAGTTTTTATTACTTTTTGATAAATAAGAAGACCAAATTTTATCACCTAAAGAGTACGTTTTCTGACTTGGAAACTATATTTTGCACAGCTGGCTAATAATAATGTAAAATTGCAGTTGCTTTTCTATTTTTTGGCTATTGCGTGTACATCCAGTTCAGATCTCTGACTGTAGGTGACAAAATCCTGGTGACTTAAGTCAAGGACATTAATTCTCAAAACTCCACCAGATCCTGTTCCACGAACTTCTCACTCTAAGTTCAAGTTTGAGATCTGGCAAACTGTACTTCAGAAAAGARTGTTCTAATAGTCTAATACTCCATTTCCAATGCACACTAAAAATGACCCCCAATACACTAGTTCAGTTTGTGTTTCCAAACCAAACCAAGACAGTGCACTCAACGCTCAGTACTGAGATTTATCCTCACATTTATTTTACCACTTAAAATCCAAGTGGAAACATGATATTTTACTGTTAAATATTAAGGCAATCTCTCTAAAGGATTTTTGGTTGTTGTATTTTTTTTATTATTATTTTGGTGCTATTCTTGAAATCCAACCGAAAAAAAGGATGATTGATTGTCTTTTGGCAAACACCAAGCGAGTTTCCACCCGCAGCAGCTCTAAACTTCCTCTAACCTTTATGTAAGCAAACACCTCTCTCATCAAAAGCTGCTTTCCACAGCCAGACTTAAACTCTACCTTCTACCAGAACCATGAGACTGGCCAAAAGGCTTGAAAGTGCCATTTAGTTGGTGGGTGTATGTGTTATGCATGAGAGTGTGTGATTCTGAAGCTCAAGACAAGATGTACTCAGGCGCAGTAATAAGGTCCGACTGCAGGTCATAAAATCTGGGAGTGAGGACATGTGAAGTACAACCATCATAAGCCTGAAAGGGTTTGGTTCCTATTTCCTTTTTGTTCTACTGTTTTTTCTTCTCTTCTCTCTAATTACTCCTCCAATCTAACACACTTTCTTCCTTCTCCCTCTTTCTCTCTCTATCTCTCTCGCTCTCACCCTCTTCAGAAGGCCCTTCCCTAAACCCCAGAGAGAAGAGGGAGGAGCCTGGGATGGCGAGGACGCGCTGGTAATCCGTGCAGTGACCCAGGTCAATTCAATTATCCTGTTTTCTTTCACTGCGCGACGTGTGTGCCCATTTCACAGCCAACTCCCTTAATGCGCCCAGGATTAGCTTCTCTTACTTTTAATAATCTACCTATTGACGCCTTGGGGCCCCACAACATATGCAAAGACACACAAACATGCACAGGTAAGTTTAGCTTGTAGAAGTTTTGGAGTAAAGGAAATTCACTAAACAGTTCCACGAGGCWAAGGCTCAAGGAAGAAATCTCAAAATAAATATGCACTCACGCGCGTGTTTGTGTTTGCATTTGCCTGACTATGTGGGAGTGTGGCTTACATAAACTGCAGTAAAGAGAGGATTGTATTATCCATCTGCATTTACCCAGGCTTCACCTCACACCTTCAAGATTTGAGATAATCATCTTAGGCCTAACACGTTAGTGTATAAGCTCACTAATCTAAACCTCGAAGGAGGAAAAGAGGTCAGTTTCTCGAAGCAAACTGTACAGATGGCTGACTCGTACCGAGTACCCAAAAAAGGAATCGATCTGTTAACGAGTACAGCACAGCAAAGYCCCATGCATGTGAGTTCAGAAATAGTCAACAGATGATGATTTCTTCCAGCTGCTGACCTGTCGGTMAACAGTCTTTTAAAATACAAATCAGATTTTGCCACAGTTAGGTGTTAAGGGTGATAGTTTCTCACAATTATCTGATCTAATYTTATAATCACACCAGTCATTTGGTAATTACATAGCAATATATAAAATAGCTTTCAATGACTAACAAAATCTTTAGCAACTGTTGTTTGAAGTCATAAATCATCTCTGCATGTGAAGCTAAAATGTTCGTCTTTCAACCCACCTTCMCCTGACAGTAATCTCCACCCATTGCTGAGACATTTAACTAGTCAGTGCTTCAATCACTTCCCAAAAACAGGAGAGTTAGAGTCTGTCAGCCTTACCTGGGATGTCCTGCCCATTGTAGTTCCATCCAGTAACAGCCAACATGGAGGGCAGAGGAGACCCAGGTCTACTGTCCCTGTCTCGCTCTCTGTCCCGCCGATCCCAAGTCCTCTCTGCCTGCTGGGTAATATGTCTGACCGTGTCCTTGTTCTTCCTGTTCTTCCTTCGCCCCGACCCGGACAAAGGTTGCCAAGGTCCATCTCCAGCTCCTCCACTGGCGCCCCCAGTCCCATGTTCCACCTGATTTTGGGTTGCCCCCTTTGGAGTGTCCCTTGGATGAGAAGAGGAGGCCGGGGAGACCTGTTCTTCTTTGACGTTGATGGGTCTGTAGTCATGTGGCCAGGCAGGCTGGGAGTCGTGGCAGGCTTCCTCCTGGCTCTCATGACTCTTCGGGGGTTCTTGGTCCTCCTTTCCGTAGGTGCTGCCTCCCTCGTGGCAGCTGGCTATGGCTGAGTCCCCGGAGGAGTTGGCTGGGCTGGTTCGACGAGGCAGCCAGGGAGARGTGCTGCGACCTGAAATGATGGAGGCCAAGGCTTCGGAGGCAATGCCCACTATTCCACCTCCCCCTCCTAAACCAGCTCCTGGAACAGCCCCTGATCCCGTTATACCTACTGCTCCTCCACCCCCGCCAACTCCTCCGCCTCCCCCCAAACCTGCRGCAACGGCTCCCATTTCAAAGTCGGCCAGCTCGTCAGCCATCCCAGATCGGATGTTGATGTCCAGTGCAGCATTGATGAAGCTGTGGCAGGCCTGGACGATGTCCGTCATCTGTAGGTAGCTGGCAGCTGACATGACCTCGATCGCGTTCTTACTGGTAAGGGCAAGATGTGCCGAGTACATGAAGTCCAAAATTGCTTTGAAGCCYGTCGCTGTAACAATGTCCAGATGAGTGACAGTCGTCTGATGGTGAGGCTCCGCCCCTTTTTTAACCTGTACAATGACACAATGATTTTCTTGTTTATTTTGTTGCTCATTCAGAAAAAGGCGGAAAACCYAGCACCTAATCAAACCTCCTGAACTGGTTAGCTTTATCTGTTACCTGGCAGTAAAGAGTCTTGAAGTAGCGCGAGGAACCCAGAAGGACGTTCTTATGGGCCTTGAAGATCTTCCCGTCCACAATGACGCAGGCGTCACAGAGAATGCCGTGCTGCCTCTGCTCATTGAGCTCCCTGAGGAGCTGACGGTAGTGAGACGAGATCTCCATGTCCTCCTTCCTGTTGTTCATCTGTGTAGCTGAAAGAAAGCCTCTCCTCCGAACATCTGCTGGCAAATAATAATAATAATAAAACAATTAGAAAAAAAACATGCAGGCAGTTAGCTAAGGATTTGCACTGCTGCAGAAATATAGAATAAGGGTGCAATAAAACTCATTTCCTTTTTCAAAAAACGAAACAATATATATA